GCTCCGACCACCTCCACCACGATCCTTCACGGTACTGGTCAACTTCGCAAAGAATTCTTCCGACATCTTCCTCTCGTTGCCGGGTTTTTCTGATCTTCGTCACACAACTGTCTCTCCGAACTATCAACTGCGCGTATCCCACCGCTGCAATGTGAGAAGCTCTCCTGCTCTCTCTCTAGGCTACTGAACACAGAGTAGTCGGAGGGTTCTGTGACTTCAACCACGGCTCTTTATTCAGCTGACTCACGGAGATGATCTGTCATCTACCGCCATCAGACTCTGAATTGATCCCTCTCTGTTTCTATTCTCCGTCGTCTGCTACCTAAGCGCCCTCTACACTCAAGAGATGACCCTACTCTCACTCGATTCATAACGCGCGAACACACACATTGTTACACAGGGATACGATAGCTATCCAAAGGTAACCGTCTCAAGCGATTTGTGGAGATGTTCGATTACATCGCAGAATTTCTGGGCGGAACGGCTGATATTGAGCTTCTGAAATCGGTAGATGGAAGAGCTCTGCTCCGTTATCTCACTGATATTTTCGAACGACTCAACATCCTCAATCGGCAACTCCAGGGTGAAAGAATCACGCTACTGGATGCTAAGATCAAGATTTTCGGCTTCGTGAAGTTTTTAGGACTCGCCACAGAAAATGTCCGACAAAAACTTCTCACGATTCACGTGGTTGAGCAAATCCACTGTGACCAATCGAGCTCGAGCAGTCATCACTGATCATATGCAAAGTTTGATCGACGATTTCAGTGCAAGGTTTTCCGACCTCCAAGCACCGTCAAGGCTGAGTCAATCGTTTCTAGTCAAATTGGAAGACGTCGAAATCGAAGTTCAAGAAGAACTGGCCGAATTCCAGGGAAACGATCTAATGGAAACGCTGTTCAAAGCGCGGGGTATTCTCATGTGGCTTGACGAAGACGTCAAGCGCCAATATCCTAGACTCGCGTCTGCTGCTCCGCAAATGCTGGTGCACTTTCCCTCATCGTGTTTGGTCGAATGCGGTTTCAGCGTTGTGAATTTGCTTCTCGACCCTCGGAGGAACAGATTGGACATCACGGAAAGAGGAGATTTGCGTCTCAAACTCAGCAAAGTTCAACCCCGGATAAAGAGCATTTGTGACGCTCATCAGAAACATGCTCCGCATGTGAAGAACTTTACACATTTGTACATAGTCGTACTATGTACAAATGTGTATTCTTGTTAGTTATTCTCGGTAGATTGTTGTTAATTCTTGGTAGTTCTTGTTATATAGTGATGGAGAACTATAAATACGAGCTCCCCTTATCAGGGAGGAAAAATCCTGACAGACTTTCATGACTCTTGCTTTCCAGTGGGGCACGAGGTATTTCGGTCGAAAAATGTGGGGCACGGGAAAAAAAAGTTTGGGGAACACTGCTATAGGAGAAGTAGTCAGCTGTGGCGTGTTCGAGAAGAACGATGAATATGACTGGGCTGATCATGTTGAGAATATCTTGATGATTACTTCGTTGAGTTTGGGTTCTTACTCACGAGTTAATCCCTTAGTTCAAGGAAGGTTGTGTTGTTGAGCGGCTTTGTGAAAAGATCCGCGAGTTGTTCTGACGTTGGAATGAAGGATACTGAGAGCTGTTCTGCTTCCAGCTGTTCTCGTATGTAGAAGTATCTTACTTCGATGTGTTTGGTCCTTCGATGAAATTGATTGTCCTTCACGAGTTTGATCGTGGACTGATTGTCGATTTGGATCTCAGGCACAATATCCGTTCCGAGTTCAATGAGGAACTTCTTGAGGTAGACTGCTCCTTTCGCAGTCTCACAGGCAGCAATCGATTCGGATCCTGTAGATGAGAGGGAAACTGAAGTTTGTCTTCGACAATGCCAATCGACGGGGCCATTACCGGAGCAAGTCACTGAGCCCGAGACAGATTTCCGGGAGAGTGGATAGCCCGCGTAGTCTGCGTCGGAGAAAAATTCCTAGACGTCAGGTGCTCTCGACTTGAACAGAATGCCATAGTTCGTCGTCCCTCGCAAGTAGCGTAGCACCGATACAGCTGCGTTCCATCGCTTCTTTGTTACTTTGTCGAGAAACCTTGACAGGAAACTGACGGCGAAACAGATGTACGGTCTTGTTGGAATTGTGAGATAATTCAGGCATCCGATGAGTTCACGATAAGGGACATCAGTTAGGTTTTCCGTGGTGTCCTCCGAGTAGCAGTCTCGCTGGATTGGAATTTTCGTAGGCCGGCAGTTGCTGATTCCGAACCTTTCGAGAATTCCCTTGACGTAATTTTCTTGATGGATGAATATGCTCTTATCGTTGCTGATCTCGATTCGGATTCCCAAGAACATTTCTACAGCCTTGTAGGTAATATCTAATTCCTTTTCCAGTCGTTTGCAGAAATTTACGATTGTTTGCTCAGAGTCAGCAGTTAGGAATGCATCGTCCACATGGAGGCTGAAACATGAGCTTCTTCTTGCCATAAAAGACGCATGGATCCTGGCTATTCTGTTGCATATCCGTATCTGAGAGTACTGACTTGATTTTTGCGTGGAAGCATCTAAGAGCTCGTTTGAGCCCGTAGATTGATTTCTAAAGCAGACATACTTGGTTACTTCCATCGGGAAATCCTTCCGGTTGATCCATGAAAATTTATTCTCCGAGATCTCCGTAGAGGAACGCAGTTTTCACGTCCAGTTGGTAGATTGACTGTTTCTCTCTTGCTGCGATGCTAAGAATGACTCTTGTTAGAGATTCGAATCGACTCACGGGGAATATCTCGGAGTAATCGATGTTTTCTCGCTGTTGTGATAATTTGACTATCCTTGGGGGGAGAAGCTTGAAGGGAGGAATTGAGTCTGATTTCACCCACGCTAGTTTATTGGCGATAACCTGACTTGGACTGCAAGACGATCGTACCGACGTGTACGACGTCTCGCTATAGACTGACGTCATTAGCCCCTGAGGTGACGCTCATGCAAACGTGCACCTGACTACAGACGTCCCTGATACATTCTGCTTCTGACATTCGACCACTGCTACCGAATTTTGGTAATGGTAATGGTAATTTGATCTAGATGGGTCCTCTATGTATATTACAAGATGGCGCATCAGCCTTTCATGTCAGGCGCTATTAAGCAGATCTTTGGTCTCCTTCTCCCATTTTTCTAGGATTCGTTTGGTTTTTGCTTACGATCGAAGGGTCCTGTATTTCTCTTGGAGGCCTAATCTTGAGAGGAGATCTTCGCCCGTGTAGTATGCGTCGTTGCATTCGAAGATCACATGTTTTACGGTCTCTTCAAATGTTCCGCATCTGGGGCAGGTGTCCTCCTGCTGTGGGTCAATAGACCTACCTCGGCTTTTCGTGGTAATATTCCCGCTCTGGCCAAGGCCAGGAGAGTGTCCCCTCTTCGGTTTCCGTAGAGGAAGGTTTGGATACCGAGGCTGTTCTTGCCTTGCCGGTAAACTTCTAGGCTTGATTTCAGCATCATGTCCTGTCTCCAGACACTCTCCTGGGTCTCTCTAATTTTCTTTTTTATCTGAGAGTTATAGGTATTCAAACATGGTGCTCCCGAGATTGAACATGCAACTTCGATTGCATCGCAGTGGTATGTCCTTTTCAGGTGTTCCGTTCTTTCGTACATCTTTGTTTGTATGCCCACTATCTTCATCATGCTCAGTAAGGCTGTTGGCCACCTGTCATGAGACATGACTTCGATTCTTTTCATATACCTCAGTTTGCTTTGGGCTTCCCTCCCTTCAAAGGAGGACCACCCGAGCTCGCCGGTGATAAATTCGTTCGCGGTTTTATAGGATGTGATTCCTAATGCCCATTTCCCCGCGTCTCTCTGCCGTTGTTCGAGTTTTGCGAGTAATTTCCCAGTTGCAACGGTTACTGCGTTTGCGTAGGTCAATTGTGGTACCGCGGTTGCCTTCCACTGCGCTCTGGAAACTTCGAATCGGTTGAAGCCCCAAATGGAAGTTGCGTGCATTCTGTGTAATGCGACTAGGGATTGTTTTTCCCAGATATCTTCCTGTACTTTCAAGTAGTTCTTGGAATTAGATAGAACAATTCCGAGGTACTTATAGTCCGACGTTATAGGTACTGAGCGACCCTGTATCTCGAGCCCTCCGCAGTCCGTTTTTTTGTTCGGAGAGAAGACGACTATGGCGCTCTTTTTTGGGTTGAATGTAATGTCGCGCTCGTCTCCAAATTCGCTCGTTATTTGGAGGAGTCTTCGCATTTCATTACTGTTAGTTGCTATTAGTACGAGATCGTCGGCGAACAGGAGGCCTGGGATTTTGAAAGAGCTATCCTCTTTCAAGTCCCATTGCCATTTTTTTGTTCGAACGTGGAAGCCCGCTTTCGTTTGCAGGAGCCTTTTCTCTAGGTCTGCAATGTATAGCATGAATAACACGCTGGATAGCGGGCAACCTTGTTTGAGTCCTCTGGTTGTTGTCACCCAGTCTGACTCGGTTCCCTTCTCGATGATTTTCATCTTATTCGAGGTGTATAGGATCTGAAGGATCTCGATCCAAGAGGGTTCCATCCCTAATTCTGCCAGGATGTTCC